AAAAAGGGAAAAGAATGAAATGTGAGAGAATGAAAAGATGAAAATAAAGTGTTTGTAGATGGGGAGGGGAGGAGGGGGTGAAGGGAGGGCAGAGGTAAGGGGAAAAAAATGAGAATCAAGACTTGCCATGTAAAGGTACATGATCCCAACAATGAATGTAACTGTACTGTATCCCTAAATGTACCAATAAACTCAATTAAAAAAAAAAAAAAGAGGACACTTTAATGGGTCAGGACTTCCAGTTTGAAGACGCTGCATCCGTGACACTGGGAGTCCAGGCTCAAGCTTACAATAAACTCCTCGTGTATTTACATCAGAAGAGTTTCCTGGTGGTCTTCTTGGGGGTTTCGCAACTTGGGCACAACAATAGCTCATGGGTATGTATTTACTTTGACAACTTTTCTGTCACTTTAACTCAGCATCTTGGATCAAAACAGTAAAGCTTCTATCAGCTACTAAGATGAGTTGGATAGACAGTGACCTCTCCAATTCTGCCAAAAATAAAGTTTACCAAGACAGTACATGTATGAAGCTGAAGATTTATAACATTGGTTAAAATGTTATATACTATGCCAGGTGTGGTGGCTCACGCCTGTAATCCCAGCACTCGGGAGGCTGAGGCAGTAGGATTGCTGTGAGTTCTAGACCAGCCTGGGCTACATAGTTAGTTCCAGCTCAGTCTCAATTACATAGTGAGACCCTGTCTCAAACAAAAACAACAAAAAAATTATATACTAATATCTATTAGATTGGATTACTTTTTATCACTTTTACCTAGAAGAATATCATAGTTTCAACTTTTTCCCCCCAGGATGATCTTTTCCTTGTCCCTTCAATAGAACATTTTTGTTTTTAGCTCTAAAGCCAGACATGTAACACATAACATATACTACCTCAATTTATTATCTTACTGCTTTCTAGTTTGTGTGTACTTATACAAGAGAGACACAGGCAGGCAGGCATGTTCTTCCCAGTAAGATTAGGAAGTATTTCACAGAGTGTAAGTCCACTGAAAGAACTACAATTGGAAATTTACCATAGTACCTTGCATTATAAATAGCTGCACACGATTCATATGGGCCCAAAAGAAAAACTCAATCCAAGTCCTGTCTATCACAAGTGTCCCTCAGGAAAATGGTAAAATTCTATCTTTCAGCATATGTTCTTCCCTGGATCCATTACTTCCTGTGTTTTCTCACTTCAGATTCACAATGAATCAGCTACTGCCCCCTACGTAAGCCCTTGTTGGAACACCTAGCAGGGTATGAGATGCTGGCCATGCACAACCATCTGTGGGGAGTCTCAAGCCATATATTCCTGCGCATGTTAAAAACATGTTGAGTACACTTCTTCTGGACGCCTTTGCGGATGAACTCATTGCAAACTACAGGTGAGAGAGTACCTGGTCCACGTGGCTTTTCCCTCCCATTCTAATTGGAAGAAGACAAGGACAGAACTCCTCAAAAAAAAAAAGACTTTGGTTAGCCGTCCAAACCACATTCCCATCAGTGAAAATGATTTCAACCTGAACAGCTCCTACAGCTCATACCATGACCTTCAATCACGTTTAGAAGGTACTGTTCTTCTCTAGCTCTGGGATCCTTCACAAGCCTTCCAGGAGTGCTCTTAGGTTCAACTTGTATTTGCCTCACAAGACTATTAAGGCCATAGTTGGTGTCAGCCTACTGGACTGTCCACTTTTCTTGTCTATAGGACAGGAAGTGCAGCATGCCAGCAGGGAAGCACCAGTTGCTGCTCTTCTATGAGTCCATGTAGCGTAACTCAGGTGTAAGAAGACAAAATCCATGTTGCATAGGTGCGAAAGCCTCCTTGGCTTAGAAGTCTCATGTTCCACAGGAACCTTGTAGCACTATCCCATAGACATAGCTTTCTGAGTCCCCATAAGATACCAGTTACCAAAGATGAGGGTCACTACACTCCAAGAAGCCCCAAAGTTCAGCTTCTTAGGTGTTAATAGTTTTCCCTGTCCAGCCATAATTTATCAATCAGGGTCTCATTTTATCATAAGCAATATCGCCTAGAAACATAGTTAGTACTCTTGTCTTTATCTGGTTACCAAAAGTGCCTATTTATAGAGTTAAAGCAAATTCTCATGCAGAATGGTTAAAAAAAAAAAAGTCACGCTCTAAGAGACTTCCAGGACTTAATCATTTGCTAACAATAGAAACATGAGTTTGTTTCTGTATATGATAAACATTTTATATATGTGTATGTATACATTATAGCTAGTTATTTTAAATATATCTATATATTATTACTCTGCTGGAAAGGCCTGACAGCATCTTTCTGGATAATCTCTTTTGGCCTGCATCCTGTGGCCCAAAACCCCCTCTGGGACAGTCTCATGGGCATGTAAGTAGGGTGATGCCATTGTCCTAACCTCCCAGAGGTGTAGTCTGTGCCTTGATTGATGGAGTGGAGGGAGTTACACTCAGAATTATGGAGACTTGCTTGAGTCTGAGAACATAGGTCAGCAATGACCTTACCAGAGTCTGTTAATTTCCCTGGAGGAATTTCAGTCAGTGACTCTCATCCGAGGAAACATTCTAGAGTCCTTAGATAAGATCTCTGGTGCACACTGTCCTAAAGTATGAACAAAGAAAGGTTGGGGCTGACTCTTCTTATGTATTTTAAGCCTCTGCCACTTGGTTCCTGGTTTGGTTTCATGTACAACAAAAGGTCTCTGTTCCCCAAACCTATCTTACTTGATCCTAAATACCAGTGATGCTAGGATTTTCCTTACCCTCCCATGGTGAGCCTCTCCAGACCTACCTCCCTCGCTCTGGCTCCTTCCCCCCGCCCCAGGATGGATGAAAGAATGTGAGGCTGTGTGTTCAAGATTGGTCATTATGGTAAATCAGAAGTTCAAGAACCTAAGCAGTCTACAGAATCTCAAGAACAAGTATGGAAATGGCTACACCCTACTGGCAAAAACCAAGAGGTGGAAGAAGGCAAAAGCACTAAGACTTTCATAGAAACAACTTTTCCAGGTTCTGGAGCTCAAGTACAACTCTCCCAATCAAGCTCTGGTTGGGACACAAGGGTCCCAAGCTTTCTACCCCAGTAATGTAGAACTAAGAGATGTAAGATCCTCAGTAGCCCCTTTTGGTCATTAATGGTGCTATCTTATGGCTCAAATTACACTTTGCAAGATAATTCTTCATATACATAAAGTAGTTATTCATGCACTAATTATTGATTTCACTGTTTAAGATTTCTCTTTGCTACCTTAGCCAAGGTTTGCTCAAGGAATGCTGACTAAAACAATAGACCTCTTTTCACTTTTCAGTTAGAGTTTGGCATATAATTGCACATAAAACCAACAAATAAATGTTTCCACAGTGCAGCTGTCTTCCCTACATAAATGAAGACCACTTATTAGTCAAATATAACTCACCTGTATCCCCTCACAACTGTGTCTTCTCTTTGAACATGTGGCAGACTGGTTTGCAGTATGGATTTGCTCTGGCTTTCTTTGTCACATTCGGTTGCTGAAGTACCTTCCGTGCCAAGCAGTGGGAAATATCCTCAGAGCCCCTCTGTACATGGGAGGGCCACTGGCCTAAGTCTGGCACTGAAGCTTTATTGCCTCCCAACCGAACAAGCTATGCTGGCCTTTATGGAGGGAGCAAAATAAAAGAACCTCCTCTAATCTCTGGTGAACTTCTGGCAATTATGCATCTATATGTAATGGATGCCCCAAGTTTAGGAAAAGTGTTATCTCCTCAGATTTAGTCCTGCCCCACCCTCCATCTACTCTGTACACTCAAGTCAGAGTGGAAAAGTAGAAAAGGGTCATTCTGGCAAGGGCCTTTTATACCATGTCAAGGAGTTCAGACTTTATCCTAAGAGCAGTGGGAAGCTCTCCCTCTCTTCCTTGCCACCTAACACACACATACACACACACAAATTCCTAACCATTCATTCTTCCAATCACAGCTTGAGTGTTTGCACGTCCCTTTGGAAGCTTTCTCTTAGTCATACTTCTCCTTCTTCAACTGTGTCATGTGCTTACATTAAGGTAAGGACCACATCCGTGCCTTTTACCTTTGTAGAAACCAAACTGGAGCCTGATGCAGTATGGGAATTCTTGTGTACTTATATTCTTATACCTTAGTGCTTGATCAAGTTAGGTCACAAAGAAAATGAAAGGAAGGAAGTTACAGTGTTTGGCTTATGTTTGGTTTCCCCATAATGAAATTCATAATGAAAATTTCAAGTTGTAAGAAAATTATCCTCTTTCAAAAAATGTTTAATTGTGGTGGAATTGTCAGAATCTTCCTTTGTGGGAGGATTATTTTTTCCCACAAGTAAAGTGAAAGTGCTGATGTTTAAGTCTAGCCTAGGATGTGCAAAGGAGAGGATAAGCTGGGTAGTTGAGAGTGGCCAAGGTGAAAAGCGTCAGTCTGCAGCTCTCCCACTGTGCCCACTTCTTACCGAAGCCTCTTCCTCCTTTCATCTTAGGCCTGATTCTCATTTCCCTCTTCCATGTATCCAACTGAAGCCAGTTTGTCCCTTGAGGACAGTTTCTAGTTCCCTTGATGCTATCAGGATTCTGCAAAGCTAGCTGGCCGTGCTCGTCCCTGTCATGCCTATCTAAAACAAGTATGCCATTTACGATTTATTTCCAGATATTTTCGTATAAAAATAAAATAGACACAAATTACAATTTTAATGTTTTAAAGTTGTCTTCATCCTTAAACCATTGGATATAGGACCACATAGATACGACTTAGGCACAGGGCAGTATGCTTAACTGTGTGACATAGAATTGCTGTAGAAATTGGGGAGAGCGAGATGGATGTCGAGCCATCTTGGAGGGCTTCACTGAGGCAGTAGGACTTTAGCTGAGTATTTAGAGTGGGATCATTTCCACGTGACTGGTTTAATTTTCATTAGAAACTGCTAAGTGCTAAGGCTACAAAGGTAAATAAGGCGGGGTCTTTCACTTCCTGAAGTTAATCGTTAGACTTAACGATTAAGGCTGCTTCAAAAACAAAAAATTATAATATCAATTCATGATACTTAGTATCTTAATTTTAACAGAACAGTTACATTTGTTTCCATTGTTCTCAAAATTCTAATGTCAACATCCATTTTGGAATCATTTTCAGTAATCATTATTCTGTCTCACAACAAAACCATTCTCTGACTCTACAATCAACTGGCAAATAGAATTTCTCTGTGCCGCCATCCTTTCACAATTAACATCAAAAACCTTTTCAAAATGGCTCCTTTATGTTTTTAGGCATTTCATTCTTGTACCTAAATGCTCTCCATCTGCATCCTCTGTTTTCTAAAAGTCCCGTTAGCTATTACATTGCCTTGTTTTCTTCTGTATACAAACACACACACACAGAGGAAAAAAGGGCCTCTTCCTTTCCCTCTAGCTTCCCATTCTTTGAGGATATTGTTATTCCATAATCCAAATTTGAATCAAATGGTAAACATTGGCCACTTCTCAAGCTGTTTCTCTGTTTAAAAGGATCAAGCGTTTTTAAGTGTTTCCAAAATATAGCTTATCTCAACATACAATGGTATATTGGAACCCCTAGAATTATTACCCTTGTGAGTCAAAACTTAGGTGCATTGTTCAGGGAAAAATGAATGCCTGATATTTTTTCTTCTAAAATCCAAAGAGCCCCTTGACATTTTAAACTCAACTTTGACTTGTGTATGATGAAAACATTGTATTGGAAATGGAAATATGCTATTTTTATTATAGTAAAAATTTACAAAGCTTACTGTCTTAACCTAGTATACAATTTCTAATTGTATAGTCTTATAGTAAGTACATTCATATTGTACAACTAATTTCCAGAACTTTTTCATTTTGAAAAACTGAAACCCCACGCCCATTAAACAACTCCCACCGTCCTGCAACCCCAGCACCTGGAAATCACCGTTCTGCTTTCTGTCTCTGATTTTGACTATGCCAGATGCCTCATAAGTAGAATCATACAGTTTTTGTCTTTTCATGACTGGCTTATTTCACTTAGTATAATGTCCTCAAGGTTCATCCATGTTCTATACCAGGTTTGAAGTTGAATATTACACTGTATATGTACATGTCTTTGTTTATCCATTCTCTTGACTATTGCTTTTCATTCTCAGGCATGTAAAGGTCTCTTTAAAGTCCTGTAATCGGGGCCAGGGATTTAACTTAGTGGTTCCGCCTTACAAGCACAAGGTTCCAAGTTCAACTCCCAGTACCAAAAAAAGTAAATAAAACAAAATTATAATTTTCATTATAATGTATTATAAATGTGTGGTTTCAACCACCTCTCATCCCTCCTTGCAAACCTATAGCCTATAAGTCATCCATAGTGACATACCTAGACGTGTGTGTGTATCCCTTGATGTATACAT